AGGTGAAAGGGCATGTGTATTTCAGTGGAAGAATAACCCAACTCAGTTTATTGTGGACAAAATCAACCATTGTTTATAGGTCACAAATTCATGTAAAATTTAAACAATGTGCCCTTCCCACAATTACAAGACCTATAAGGCAATACTGTGAATTCCCAAGAATAAATTGAATTGGGATATTTTTCTCGAAAAGCATCTGAAATGATTACATTGTGTTTGTTTTCCTTGCTGTTTAAGCGTTCTAGTAGCTCATCAACAGTCTTGAAGAGTTTGGTGGGGCAATGCAAGAGGAAGACAGATCGTGTCCTACTCTTTTCCTGTAAGAACCAACATCTTGCAGTGTGAGAATCCTTCAAGGAGGGAAATTACATTGAGTAGCAAACTGTGGAGTAGACTTTTGAGAGAGGATTTGAATTTTTTAGTTCGTCAACGTCAGTGTCAAGGATTTCTTTTCTTTCATCTCCCTTCCTTTCTAGGAACGTGGGACATTTCCTTGTTGAGCTGGAGGTAGAGAGCTGGTCATTCCATTTTCAGTCTGCAATGCAACTATCTCTGTTCCCCACTCCCTTTCCACATGGAAAAGTAAACAGAAAAAATAAATCAAATAATGTATAGGGGAATTACTGCAGGGAAGGAAGAAATATTTATTTATTTATTTACTATATTTATATACCGCCTCTCTCAGCCCTCGGGTGACTCAAGGCGGTTTACAAGGCAAGATTCAATGCCACAGAGCACAAGTACAATTTAAAAGCATTTACGTACATAAAATCATAATAGCAATAAAACAAAGTCAACTAAGAAATCCATATTTAAACATTGTCCAGTCCCATCATATGGTTGTTCCATTGTCCCATAACCGCTACTCTGTATTTGCAAAAGCTTGCTCGAAAAACCATGTCTTGAGCTTTTTTCTGAAATGTCAGCAAGGAAGAAGCTGATCTGATCTCTCTAGGGAGGGCATTCCATAGCTGAGGGGACACCACAGAGAAAGTCCTGTCTCTCATCCCCGCAAGATGTACTTGAGTAGCTTTCTTGAGTAGCTTTCTTTAGATATATATAGTAGTAAATAAATAAATTTAGAAAAGAGGTAGAAGACTTGTCTCCTCTAAGCCTTTAAATTGTTGTTTTGAAAACACATGTTCAGGGCTTGGTTGCATCTTGCCAATAAAATGGGGGCACTATTTAGTTTTCAAAAGAAACCTCCATAGAAGTCAAACCTATGGAGAATTTTGTCTTTTTGTGGTTAAGGTACAGAATTGTTTATTTTTGACCGATATTGCCATTTTGTGACCTAATAGAAATTATATTTTTGTTACTAAGACTGGATGTAATTTATGGATTCCCTGTGAAAGTGCTTGGTTTATTATTTTTATATCCATATTTCCTTCAAGGAGCTCTATCTAGTTGGTTTATCTAATTGTCCCTTCCATCATCAGCTACTTTATGATCTAGATTATGTGGGAAATAATTATTGGCCAAAGGTATAATCAGTTTCCAGGACAAGAGTTAAAATCATGCTGCTATTTGGCCTTGTAACTTCCAGAATGCCATTTGGGTATGTTGATTAGGATTGTTAGGACTTGGAACCAAACAACATCTGGGGGCCTGATACCTAATGTTTCTCTCAGCTCAGTATCTCAACAGCATAACGCAGTGTTCCCCAGTAAGATGCCATCAAAATAAATGCTTTGGACAACATGTTTCACTTCCCCCATGCATTGGCTATATTAGCTGGGGCTAATGGGAACATACCAGATTAGGGAAGGCTGTTCTAACAGCGGCCTTACACACTGTATCAGGGTAGAGAAACATTTATGACCACTTGTCTGAATTTACTGAAGGCCTTGTGCCTATATTCAAAGATGCTTAGCATCTTTTCTATGTGTATATCTTTTTCTTCCGCCTCATTCTAATTTGACTAAATTGTGTCTGCAGGCCATGCTTTCAGTTTGCTTCCACAGTCGTAATATTACATCTAATAGTATGTATTTGAAAGTCAGTGGAGAAAATAGGAGAGTTCCTGATTGATTTTTCCATTCTTCTATGGTAGAAATGTTTCCCTACCCCTCCCTATTATGTGCCCTCTATTTGCATAGGAAAATTTGACACTGTTCTGTTAAACATTTGAAAAACACATAGTTCCCTTGATTCTTGGAGGGCTTTCCCATATTTTTGCCTAAGGGGAGTAGCATACTGTAGCTTGCACAGTAAGTAGCACTCTTATATCTGGAGAAGTTTATGTGCTATGAAAAGAATGTGACATGGCCCTGGGTTGCCAGAATTAACATGAATTTAAAGAACTGCATGGCAGATGGGTTCATTGATGCCAGAAGAAATGGGTTTTACAATTCTTACACAGGAAAGAAAAACACTCAGCAGACATTTTGCCTCCAGCTGCCCTTTGGAGAAAGAGGGCTAGTCAAATGTCCAGTGTCCACTGAGTTTTTCCTTTAGTTGCCCTAAAGGGGGAATGAGAAGAGGGAAGAGAAGGAGAACTTAACTTACACAAGGCCCCTATAAAAAGCAGATGTCCCAGACACTTTCATGCTTGCCAGGGTGGTGATCATCCTGGAAATTGCTGTGTTATGACTTTGTTGTTAACTACCTATAATCCAGCCCAGAGAAAATGAAAAAGGTTCACAGGGGCAATGAGGCACCCTCCTGCCTYGAGCCACGGGGTGAGGCAGGTCAGAAATAAAATTATTATTATTACTATTATTTCTTCTCTTCCTTTCCTGAGYAATTTGCTAAAAAGGTGAAAAGTGTGCCAGGGAAGCTTCAGAACATTTGCTTTTTACAGGTGCCTCCTGTAAAATTGAGTCCTCCTCTCATCCCCCCCCCCCCCGATAGGATTCCTTGAGGAAAAACTCAATAGGCTCTGGACGTGTGACTGGCCCACTTTCCCGACATCCCTTATCACTGTGTATGTGCAAAATCAGGTATTCCAAAATCCCCCCTCCCCCAAATTCCAAGATCCAAAAAACCTTTGGTCCCAAGTATTTTGGATAAGGGAGACTCAACCTGTAGTACGACCTATGTTACAGACATTGTAATTTCTGATCTTCACCCAAAGGATAATGTGGGATGTGATGTGGTATGGAAAAACTTCCAGTTGCAGCATATTGATTAGAAGAGGCAAATACTGAAAAGCAGCATGTTTCAGCCAATCTACTGAGAATTCGGAGAAGCATTCTCTTGTTTTCCCCTGTGAGCATAGTGAATAAATATATCATGTGAAATAACTTCTCAAAAGTTGATCATTCCCATTTTGCATATGAAGAGCTGAGGCTCCAAACTTGTTTCTAATTCATTGCATGGCTGCAGGGGTCAATGCTAGATTTGTTGCCACACTGTGACTACTTGTTTCTGCCTTCAAATCCGTTTGTCTATATGTTTTGAAGATATAAGTGCTGTGGAGAGCAAACACTCACTTCCATGCAGTAAAGATAACTATGACAATACCATGTCAGCTCCATATCATAGTTCTTTTTGGCATATGCTGAATATGTGTTTTTCTGAGTGCTTAATGATGCTAAAACGTTGCTCTTAGGCTGAATAAACATTACATAATATTATTGACTTACAGAATAGGGGGAGAAAAAGCTTATACTGCAATTTAAACTGATAAGCTTTATCTAGGAATAGTCCATTTAGAGTATTTTCTGTATGTCGATTGAGTGTTTGCCATGTTTGCTTTATCAACTGGTTCAGTGTCATAGCTAAATATTTGGTTAGTCTGCTTGATTGGACTGCAACAGATGTGAATGATATCCACTGTATAAGGTTATTTAAACATTTATGTTCAAAAATTGAAGCTTAATGCTTATAATTTTGAATATCCTATATTATTTTGATTATGCTCGGTACAGACTTATGTCCTTTCTGTAACATGGGAACTAGTTTTGGAGGAAAACTAAGTAATGTTTCACATTGTCAAATATTTAGAAATTTTGGTATTGTTTTCTGTAATAATTTATGTTATATTATTCTTTATTGTATAGTAGTCTTGTAAGGTAGTTCTTCAGAAGCACTGCATGTTCTTAGTTTGAAATAATGTTTTTAGTGTAAAGTAAAATTGAAACGAACTGTTCCAAAGGTTGCTTGTGATGATAGTAAAATACTCATATCTTAGTTGGCCATAATCTTTTAATGAAAATTATTATTTTAAATATCTGTAGCAGAATAAGTATGAAAAATTTAAATAGTGATTTTAGGCTGCAGTTGTTTGCAATCTTAGCTGGAAACCAGTCCCATTGAACTCTGTAATTTTAAAATGTGAGTTATTGAGTTAATATGGAAAGGGTGATCTTTTCGATAGCAGGCTAAAATCTTTTTACTCAGACAGTCTTTTAAAGATGAAGGTTTTAAAGATCTAGTCAGAGGTTCCTGTGGTTTTTAACTTGAATATGTTTAAATGGATTTTAACTGTGATTTTTGAAAATACTGTTTATATTTAATTCAGTTTTAGTGTTTGCTTATTTGTATATTTTAAATGAGGGGGTGCAATGGATTAAACAACTGAGCTGCTGACTGAAAGTTCGGCCGTTCATATCCTCAGAACGGGGTGAGCTCCTGCTGTTATCCCCAACTTCTGCCAACCTAGTAGTTCAAAAACAAGCAAATGTGAATAGATCAATAGGTACTGCTTCGATGGGAAGGTAATGGCACTCCATTCAGTCATGCAGACCACATGACCTTGGAGGTGTCTACGGACAGCGCCAGCTCTTCGTCTTAGAAATGGAGATGAGCACCACCGCTCCGAGTTGGACACAACTAGATTTAATGTCACCTTTACGGTATTTTAAATTGTATGAAAATAGTTTGAGTCTCCTTTGGGAGAAATAAAGTGAGGTATAATAATAATAATAATAATAATAATAATAATAATAATAATAATAACAACAACAACAACAATAACAACAACAATAAGAAGAAGAAGAAGAAGCATTACTGATCCATGGTTTTAATTTTTTTCTCCTGTATCATTTTCTTTTTAGTAAGACGAAGCAAGGTCTCTTGCCTAGTTTGGAGGATCTGCTGTTTTATACCATTGCAGAAGGACAAGAAAAAATACCAGTTCATAAATTTATTACGGTAAGCTTTTTTTGTATGTGTGATTAAACTATTGGGCAGGGAGTGATGTTGTATGCCTTGTTATGAGCATCTATTAGAAAGGATATTTAAGTGTCTAAAGATAACATTTACTTGATATTATTTCTTCCCTCAAATTATAAAACCGCATGTATATTGGCATGTCTTGTACACATAGTCAAAGAAATAGAACCACTCTGCAAATATGTCTACCAAATGTACTACACTGTATTAAAAAATAAGACCAGATGGCCACTAGAACTGGAGTTGCATATTTTAAAATGTTCAGAACAAGAAATATCTGAAATCCTTTTTTATTTTTTCAGGCTCTAAAATCTACTGGTTTACGTACATCTGATCCAAGACTGAAAGAATGCATGGATATGTTAAGATTGACACTTCAAACAACATCAGATGGTGTTATGCTAGATAAAGATCTCTTTAAAAAGTAAGCACCGCTTCTTCAGTCTGGCACAGTTTCTTAAAATATATCTTGTTCCATTTATTGACATAGAATAATGTCTTAGTTCAGAAGGGGAGGGGGGATGAGGCCAGCCACACTGCTTTTAGAAATATTTATTTGTTAAAAAACTTCATTTTGCTGGTATACAGAGTGTACTGTGAATAAGAGAGCATGTTCATTTGGATCCGTCTTTTTAAAAAAATGGATGTAGTTTTCAAACACTAGCTTCTTATTTATATTGCCCAGAATTCTAAACCAACTTTTCTTACCCTCCTGTTAGCTTTATATGTCTGGTTTTAAAGGTGTTATAGGTTTTAATGTTGATATATTGTATTTTATTTCATATGGTATCATTGTGGGCTTTGTGAGCCACCCCAAATCCCTACAGGAGATGATGGCGGGGTACAAATAAAGTTTTATTATGACCATGATGATGATGATGATGATGATGATGATGATGATGATGATGATGATGATGATGATAATGGTGTTTAACTCTTTTAATTGGAGTAGTAAAGTGTAGGCATTTGGGACTAATCCTGATTGCAAGGAGTAGGCTGACTCCTAATCTTCTAGGGTCAGAAGCAATGACCTTAGAAGAGATTTTTGGAAGTGACCCCCCCCCCCCCCCCATTTTCATAAATTAATAACTCTGGATATTTAGGCTTTTGGTTGTTTACTTGACATGTAGGCACACTGCTCTGCTGTGTAGTTACTTGTTTGCAATAATGTAATGCAGCACACTGTTCTGCTCCATTGTGTTTTTCAAAAATAGTAACTGGAAGTAATTTCTGATTGCAGTCCACAGTTCTTGGAGACCACCCCAAATAGCAGTTGAACTTGTATGGTCTCTTTTTGTCTGATAAAATGGTGAGAAGCTGAGTAAAGTATAGGGAAATTTGAGGCTTCCAAAAACGGGTTGCAAGGGCCTCTTGCCTCCTGTGGATTTCACTTTCCCCATCAATATAAACAAGTGGTTCCCAATCTTTGGTTCTCTGGGTGTTTGGACTTCAGTTCCCACGATTCCTAACAGCTGGGGTTTCTGGGAATTGAAATCCAAAATAACTGGAGGACAAAAGGTTGGGAACTACTGGCATAAGCAAGCACCAAACATAAATTCTTCAATTTCACAACTGTTTCCTCAATGGTTTAAGAAGCATGTGGGCTATATATCCACAGGCTTTGAGTTGTACTTACATGGGTAGTATAAAGACTATTGGATTGGAAATACAGATTATTGTCATAACAACGAACTGATGCACATGCTTCTTCAGGAAATAGAAAGATAGAAACTTAACTTTGTATGAATCCTTTTTGAAGATTTAAAACATTTTTTTTCAGACATGTTGGAAGATATGTATAGCATGCTACTTTGTATGAGATAATCCACTCCAATTACAAATCTCATATTTAATAGTTTCTCTTGACATTTTTGGAGCTTCTCAAGTCATAGTCTCTATTATAGTTCATTTTTTTCAAAGCTCGTATCATATCTTTCCTGATTAGTAATGTGTTTTGATGAGGTGTAACTTCTTGATTGTTAAATTTCGATCTTTTACATACTTTGAAATCATTTCTATTCATTAAATATCATGGTCTTGATACATATTAGAATTTACGCTGGAGTTGTGGCTTCTTCCCCAAAAATGGAACATGGCTCTCATCTAGTTATTTCAGCCTGTTGTTAAAGCAGAAGAAAAAGCAAAATTAAACACAATGTATGTGATTGTAGTAAAAGCAAACTTTATGTTCTAAAACTCACTAGAACTTAAGGTGCATTTTTAGGAACTGATTTTATTTCTATAGGAGTGAATTTTATGCAGCTGTCGTACAGACCTTGTTAAAATGCAACAGCCAGCAGTCCCCAAAAGCATAGCCAGTTATGACTAGATTTGAGGCCCTGCAATGAATAACAACATGCAGTGGCATTTTCACTCATATAACCATGTTTATGTTTTGCAGGTGTGTTCAAAGCAACATTGTCTTACTTACTCAGGCTTTCAGGCGCAAGTTTGTAATTCCAGATTTTATGTCATTTGCTTCCCACATTGATGAGTTGTATGAAAATGCTAAAACACAATCTGGAGGAAAAGTGAGTGCACTGATAAAATAATTGCCATGTTTTTAATATTTTTATCATATAAGAGCAACATTTTAAAGACTGAATAGTTGCTGTTGAAGTTCTTGTTTCAAAACCTGTTCCTAAGGCTGAGAAAAATTAATTTGTTTTTGCCTTGAAATGTTTTTTTTGTTTCTGTAAGATACCAATGTTTTGCTTTTTTATGGATACAGAGAGGCATGTTGCCTCTAAAACATAATTCTCATAGATTTACGATAGCACTGTTTGCAGTGCTCCTTTTCCTTGAAGTATACATAGTTATGTACATGCTGTAGGTTATCACAAGGATTACGTGCCTCTCATACCAGTCTAGTTACATACTTCAGGTTCAGAACAAAAGTAACCTTTATCGCGCAGATTATGTTGGAAGATTACACCTTTTCTAAAGAGCCTTGTTTATATAAGCATATTTTTTAGAAGGAGCTGAACAAGTAAAATGGAGAGAGCAAGACTGTTGTCAGTAAATTCAACTACAAGTAGATCTTATGTCCAATGAAACATTCTCCATTGAAAGTTGCTTATGTTAAAGCATAAGAGGGGAGATATTAGTACAGCAGAGTACTCAACATTTTATAGTTTTTATACTTCTACAATCCTTATCCTAAGAGTGTTAACTGCTTTTGCATTTCGAGGCCAGGTAGGGTAGTCTTCTAAATTCTAGCAAAAACATTTTCTATTTCAAGTTTTTTATATATATATATATATATATATATATATATATATATATATATCTATAGGCAGTATAGTTGGCCATCTCTTACCACAGATTCTGCCATTCCAGGTTTGATTTTTTTTAATTCCCCAAAAGAAGGTTTAATTTTGCAATTTCATGTAAGGGATACCATCTCAGTACACCATTGTGTGTAATGGTACTTGGCAGTACCTGGCAGTTTCCTCTTTCTTATCAGGATATTTAGCTGAGGGTTTGGGAGTTACTTTAGTCTTATTTCTTCTTTCACTGTGTATTTTGTTTTTGTTTTTCTTAGGAATTCTGTTGTCCTCCATTTTGAGGATTATTACTTGCCGAGGCAAACCTTTTCCAAATGGATAGACATTCAGGTCCAATAGAATTATAAAAATGAGGAAAAGACCTCATTTTGCATAAGGGCGAAGTGTTTACTAAACACCGCCCTTATGCAAAATGACTAAACTAAACACTTTTTTTTTCTTCATCTTTCTAGTGAGTTTTTGTTAGAATATTAATAATATTCTGTTTTATCTCTCCAAAAAGATTCTCAAAGAATCTTAACAACACTAAAACAATACAATAAACAATTTGAAACCTAAAAAGATATAGACACTAAAATAGGATTAAACATAGAAAGTATTACATTATATTATTATTGTCAATTTGGGAGTTACCTGAAATAGTAATTTATGTTATTTTTGTTTTTGATAGGTTGCTGACTACATTCCACAACTGGCTAAGTTCAGTCCTGACTTGTGGGCAGTGTCTGTGTGTACAGTTGATGGACAGAGGTATTGTATAACATCTTAAATACAGAGATATCCAAATAATGTCGACTATTAGGACAGAATCAGAGCTTTTACCTGGGGAAACTGCATTTGTTATCAGTCAGTTCAATCTTGTCCTATCCTCTGGGGTATTAGCTATCTTTCCCAATTTGATGTTATCTGCAAATTTGATAAGCATGCCTTCTGTTCCGTAGTCCAAGTTACTAACAAAAATGTTGAATACCACTGGGTCCAGAACAGACCTCTGAGGCACTGCACTGGTCATGTCTCTCCAGGATGAAGAGGAAGCACTCTTTAGGTTCCCAATCCACCAAGCTATAGCATCCAACTCTAGCCCACATTTTACTAGCTTCTTTGTGAGAATATTGTTGGAGAAAGGCCTTATCAAAGGCCTTACTGTAATCAAAATGTTATAGCCACAGCATTCCCTTCCTCTAACAATCTTGTAGCTCTTTCAGAGAGAGAGAGAGAGAGATTTAGTCTGGATGACTTGTTTTTGGGAAATCCATGTTGACTTTTAATGAGCATAACATTCCTTTCTAATTGTATACTTGTTGTCCGTTTAATGATCTGCTTTGGTATCTTTCCTGGTATTGATGGTGGTAATGATTCGGTGATGCCCCCCCCCCTTTTTTATGTTCAGTTTAAAAAGGAATGGCAGTTAGAGAAGTCAGTTAAGCTTTGAGCCTTGTTAGAGAATATCTATTGAGCTTTGAGTCAGCTTTGAGTGTAGAAGTATTTTATTGTGCAGAAGCTAATGTTAGAAGCTAGTACATTGTTGAGGCTTGTATTTTCTTTTAAAGCGAGCTCTTATTGAGGAGAGCTGTGTGGACCAGCATAGTTCGTTAAGAAACAGTTAAACTTTATACGTTTTAAGATATAAACTCCCAAAAGAAATGTACTTGTATCATTGAATGCAAGAAGAAATAAGTAAACAACCATTGTTATTGTAAAAAAAAGTCTGCTTGATTCTTTGCCTGTCTAAAGCATCAAATAAACTCAAGGAATACTCCTTTCAAATTCTGCTACTCCTGATGGGTTGCAATCCTAACAGTTCGTGATCCATCCATTATCCTCAAAAAATTTCTTTTTAAAAAAATCTTTATTAGATATTTTCATAGTACATATAATTTATAAAGTGATAATTTTAAAATCCAATAGAACAAGAAAAAGAATAGAGAGAGAGAAAAAAAAGAGAAATGTGTGAAAAAGAGAAGAAAAGAAAAAAGGGGGGTGGGGATTGTGAAAAGTAAAAATATAGAGTTTTCAGTCTTGCTTCCGGGTTGTTTTGAAGAGGGTTTTTTCCTTTTCTTTCTTGAGAGTCTTTCTAATTTTTCTTTTCTTCATCCCCAATAATTTTCATATTCCCACCTGTCTGTTCATTTTTAAAAACAAATGGGACAGTGTACAATGACTAATAAACTTTTTTTTTCTTGCAGACATTCTATTGGAGATACCAAAGTACCATTTTGTCTTCAATCCTGCGTAAAGCCCTTGAAGTATGCCATTGCTGTTAATGACCTTGGCACTGAATATGTACACAGATATGTTGGTAAAGAACCTAGTGGACTAAGATTCAACAAATTGTTCCTCAATGAAGACGGTAAGTTAATTGTATTTGGCATTGCCACTTCCCAGTATGCTAGCAAACAAGGCAGAGGTAGAAGATCCAATAAGTGATGGAGAAGAAGGGAATGGTATGTTTATCTCTCTCTGTGGATTAATTTTTACAGGATTTTCCTTACTATAAAAAACTACATTTTCTTCTGAAATTAGATCTGATATAAAAGAATAAGAAAAAGTATTATTTCTTGTTTTAAGAAAGTGAGTAAGAAGATGGTGTGTGCATTTTTAAGCACTTGGTAGAGAGTTCAGGTAGCAGGTTAATTCCAGCAGACATAATTGCATAAACTCTGTAACATTTGTAAGTCTGATATTGTTCTTGTGGAATTAGGGCAAAATGCTCCAGGCAGGGGAAAAACAAGGCATAATAGTTGCCTAGTATATTTCTATAGCTTGACTTGGACACATCACTTCTATGTTGTGTATATTAAAAATATCTTTCCCCTCTTGATATATAACATAAAAATTGAGAAGCATGTAAGACTACAGGTAGTCCCCAAGTTACGAACAAGATCGGTTCTGTAGGTCTGTTCTTAAGGTGAATTTGTTTGTAAGTTGGAACAGGTACATCTTTAAAGTGTAACTCCAGCCAAAAATCTATATTTTTTAAGCTTTGGATAGCATAGTGAAGGGTTAACACGTTTGTGGTATTTGTTTTGCTCAATGTGAAATAGACTTTAAATATGGCAGTGGTGGAAAGCATCAGGATTGTCACTACTAGAAAACTGCTACTAATCATATATGTGACATAGTAGTTCAGTTATTATGTGTGTTTATGCGACTGAGTTCTTGAACTAAATTGACAGATATTGTACGAAGGCAAGAAATACTGTGAATTGTCTTGTGACAAAATGCTGTGTATTTGGCTCCTTCCACACAGCTGAATAAAATCCCACATTTTCTGCTTTCAATTGGAATATTTGGCAGTGTGGATTCAGACAACCCAGTTCAAAGCAGATATTTTGGGATTTTTTTGCCTTGGTATCCTGGGTTATATGGCTCTGTGGAAGAATCCTGAGTCCCTAGAGGCTTGGATTTAGAGTAGAATTTGTGAGACTTGGTTTGAATTAAAGGACATTCCAACCTTACCTCCTCCTCTTCATCTCAGTCCCAGTAAAGAGCTGATTCAAAAAGTAGGGGACCTGTCATGATGGTCTGGGATGTGGCAGGGGGGAATTTGGAGAAGGAGACTATCCAATGGTGGTATTTACTTATGTTTGTCCAGCCAGAAGACTTAGTTAAGAAATGTAACTTTAAAATCTCTTAAGTATTCCTGGTAAACAACATACCAAATAAAATCAAGGTTCTTATAATAAAAGTAGAAGTTGTGACTTCAATTTTTTGAACATGACTTGATTTACGCGGTCTTCCAGTTCAAAATATATTACCCATTTGTTAAGTTAAACATGGTGTGCTTTTGTGTATAGCTTCTTTATATAGATTCCCTCTCACCACATATTTGTTGAAATAGGAAATTGAATTGGTGTTCTGGTGAGTAATTTAGCTCCGAACAAAATGCAGGGTTTCTTAGTGATAAATGTGCATACTTCCAGTAGCTCTTGCTTGGTAAGAGAAGACAGCTCTCAGTTGCTAAGATACTGAATTAATTTTTAATAGAATGAGAATTAAGAGATGGCATTTGAAGACCATGTGATCTTTCCACTGTGGAATACATTTCCTGTGTTTGTGCATCTGAAAGGAAATGCTACAGGCTCAGAAAAAAGCATTTTGTTCTAAAATAATGGTTACAAGGCTGATATTGATTAACACATGTAAATGGCTATATCATGCATTAATTTTATTCCCATAGATACTGATTAGACCTATTGAATCTGTACTTTACATCAAATCTGAATCTTCTAAAATTTTCAATATATTTTCTTCCCTGTCTCACCCGTAGAAAGAGAGAGGGTGCCTAGTGTTGTGTGTTGTAGTGTTTCAATGCAAGAATTTAATGGAGCATAGAAAATAGTTTAGATATATTTCCATAATAGTCTGGGTTGTACAGTAATTGACACTGGTTTTTATTGATACACTAAAAATAACCTTGAGGCACATGTTTGCTATTTCCATAGGCTCACTATAAATGTCTTCCTCTGCTCTTGTAGGATTCATTTGTTGAAATTATTAGCCTTCGGACATAAATAGTTGTGCAGTTCTTGATGTATTTAGCTTCAGATTTCAGACCGTTAACTTCTTGGGAGTGATTTACTAAGCTCTTAATGCATAAAAACTAGAGTAGTTCAGCATTTTTGGAAGAAATCCAAGTGTGCAACTGTCTGCAGCCTATTCCAAAGGCAAAACGTGTCAACTGATGTGTCTAGAAATTACGGCTGTGTGCCAGCTCAATATTTCATTAAGGGCAGGACACATGTACAGGCAGTCCCCAAGTTACAAATGAGAGTTGAATTCCCAAGTTAAATTTGCATGTACATCAGAACAAGTACATTTTAAAGTGTAACTCTCTCTCTCTCTATATATATATATGGGGTTTGTATAGCATGGGGAAGGATTAAAATCCTTGGGGTGTTTGTTCTGCTATCTACTTCGTTCACAAGATTTCACTGCCTTTTCTGTCCCTGTAATAATTGGATTTTGGAAAAAAAGACTTATTGTGGAAACAAGGATTGGTGAGAAAGCTTCAGTGGAGACACCTTCTCCCCATGATCACTCTTTCAAGAGTGAATTTCCCTTCTGAGGAGTAGATTTCTCTCACTTCTTTCTCACCCCTGTTCTTAACTATGAGTCATTTGTAAATTGAATGTTTGTAACTTGGGGACTGCCTGTACTTTCATTGACTAACTTAGACATCCTGGATCACTCCGCTATCTTAGCATTTTGCATGATGAAAACACTGAAAACAGTTGAAGTCATTTCTCTTCACTGTAGTAACATTCTAAATTACTCACACTTGTTCAAAGGCTGCAACACATTATTTGTGCCTGACATGGTTCTTATAGTTCATTGGTTCTCAACCTGGGGTCCCCAGATGTTTTTGGCCTACAACTCCCAGAAATCCCAGCCAGTTTACCAGCTGTTAGGATTTCTGGGAGTTGAAGGCCAAAAACATCTGGGGACCCCAGGTTGAGAACTACTGTTATAGATCATTAATGCAATTTGTAGGAAGGATAGTGTTATTGTTAATTTTATATAGTGTAAAATAAATTCACAGGAGGTAAATTTGTATGAATGAATCTCCTTTTATTTTGCAGACAAACCTCACAATCCTATGGTGAATGCTGGTGCAATTGTGGTCACTTCTCTGATCAAGGTAAAATGCCTACACTTAATTTTCTTGAGAACTGTATTGCAAATAGTTTTGTGGAGAATTATGTTGTGTAGTGTCAGGCTCCACACAAGCCCTGAAACATTATTGACAAGGCACTTTACTGTGGTTTGCAGCTCACAAAAGCATGTAATCAAACGATTGGGGCTATGAAACAGTTCCAGTTCATAAAACCATTGTCTGAAACTGTTTTTGGAGGTTGTTTTCCCATTCTTGTTCAAAAAGCAGTTTGGGAGATATGGTGCAAACATTAGAAAATATCCTGTTGTATTATATCTCCAGTATTTTTATTTTACATTTGAAAAAGCACTCATATAATATCCCGGACTGCTATTTGAAACTCATTGGGTTAAAGAGTTCTTTCTCTGAAATAGTAGGCAGGCATGTGCCTCTAGATTGTGGCTAGAATTAAAGAAATGTTAGAGAACATGACACCTTCTATTTGTAATTTTTATGTTTTTCTATGAAGCACGTGACTTAATTTAAAATTTCACGTGCGAACCTGCAGACATCCATTTTGATGTGCAGTTTAAAGTGCTTCTTTAATGTCATTCTGAATATTTGCTTATCTTAGTCTTTTGAGAATTTATAAGAAAAAATAATGCATTATAGACACTCCTGAGTATACTTTGGAGTTAATTTACAGCTTCATGAGGAACAAAGCATGTCTTCATAGCAAACCTTCTCATACTTTACCAATCTAAGATTGTCTTCCTTCTTAGATAAATCTGTTTAAGAAATGATTTAATAATGTATTGGATGTAGTGGTTCTAACCATGTTTATACACATATTCAAGTTTTTATGTTGAAAGGCAGGATTGCTCTTAATGTTTATAATTTAAACTATTTCTAGATTTTGCATAGTTTATATGCCTTAATTTCAAATTCAATGTAATATAAATTTTGCTATAAGAAAATTTTACCTTGATGTTATTAATCTCTGGAGCTATATATAGGTGTCAGTGAACATTTCTGCATACTTTATAAATAGAAGATCTTAAAATGATCAATGTAAACAGTTATCTCTTAACTTGTGTTCATTTTCTGTTGAATCAGTTTCACACTTAGCTGTGAAAGGCTATTTTACTCTTCGATCATAATTTTTTGCTTTTCTTTGTATTGAAGAAGGTGTAAACACGTCCTGCTTTAAATATTTATCTTTGATAGCTATAGGTGAAGGAAAATGGCCTTAAGTATTGACAGGTAAATTTATACATGTTTAATTTTTTTCCTTTTAGGTTAAATATTTAAGAGATTCATGTTGAACATGATTTTTTGAAACAAATGATAGAGCATCGAATCATTGAGTGTTCTTGCTATGGTCTAGCTTTTTACATGGTAATCTAAGCCGTGATTGGGAGCACTACTTTTTTCTTTTGAAAACTTGGTCTCCTCTAATGAGTGGAATTTCTACTATTTTTAAGACAATCTCAGAATGCCAGTGGAGGCTTCGGATTCTTGTACTATAGTGCAACGTTACTTCTTACTGCATGAAACCGTATTAAAAGAAAATGTTAGCAATTTTTTTCTAGTCAATACTGGATTGCATAAAAACTTTGCATGTCGTATCCGCATGTCCAAGAGACATAAATCACCACACTGCATCATTACATGTTGAAACTGATTGTAAAACATTTTTTGTGTTACATAGCTGCTAGGAAGCTATTTCATCAGAATCAAGGACTGAATCCAGTTCTTAGTCCCAACTAGAGCAGACTCATTGTTTAAAAGGTTGACTCTTATATAATTCACGCTATTCAATAGGGCCATTCTAGATGGACTACGAGATTTAACCCCATGTGTGTAATTAGACTGACTTCAGGTTTTTAAACTTCAGATAAAATTTGCTAAATGAAATTGGGTTGCTGTGAGTTTTTCAGGCTGTATGGCCATGTTCCAGAAGCACACTCTCTTGACGATTCACCCACATCTATGGCAGGCATCCTCAGAGGTTGTGAGTCTGTTGGAAACTAAGCAAGTGGGGTTTATATATCTGTGGAGTGTCCTGGTTGGGAGAAAGAACTCTTACCTGCTTGAGGCAACGGTGAATGCACTATTGAGGTGTTTTTCTTGGGGGAAAAATGCATCTTAGAATCGATGAAATGGAGTATATGCCCTGCAGTTGGAGCCAACCATGGTGTTACTTTAGTAATGGGCTTTTGCATTTTTGTGTTTATTATTTTTTATTTCATAATAAATGAGATCTTATGTTTTAAATAAATCAGTGTCACGTGGGTAATGAAGGCTTAATCTACATCTCCCTAGTGCAATTTTGAAATCTCTCACCCTGTCATTCTGTCAGTGGGTTTGCTGGTTTGCAAATGCTAATTGCATTGTGTATGAGGAGAGAAGAAGGGCGATTGCTCTTGGGAATAGACCTGAGGAGGGAGAATTTAACCTCCATTCCCCATATAGTGTGGTTTCTGTGGGAATAGAGCAGGAGTCAAATCTAATATTTCTAATTCAAATGTAGATGCTAATTATTCAGTTAAATTAATTTTTAATTTGATTATAGCATTTGCAACTGTATTTATTGTGTGTACAGAGCCCTTGTTAGGTATTTTTGAATACAGCATGTTGCTAGACGGATCTTTAAGTTGAGGTGGGAAAGCATTTCCTCTTTTCTTAGTGGCTGTTTTCTTTTTCTCCTGAACACTCTGTGTCATTTGCTTGTCTGTCCAGTTGCTTCCGTAGAAGATTGGGTTTGACATTGCAGCAGACAATTTTCCTGCTCAAGTTTTCAGTTTTGTTAATAAAGAGAGTTGTTGAAAGGACTCAGATCTTCCCAGTGTTGCACAACTCAGCCTTAGTGCATGAGACTCACAAACTCTTTTATAGTATTACCTTGAATGTGAGTGACACGGAGCTAGTACTTCGACAATGTGTGGAAGAGGTTCACTAACCCCCTAGACCACATTGTCAGCTGTTAGCAAAAAAAGTGGTTATCCATGAAAGAGAAAGGCATAAGAGAAGTGATCCATGGTGCAAGGGATCTTTACAACAACTAAACATAAACAACTAAACTGATGAGAATCAGCGACTTGTGAGTGAAGAATGTAGTCTGAGAAAACAGCTAATGCAAATTTTTCGTTAATATTCTTAAGTCATGACCATATTTTATTTATATACTTTTTGCTATTTAAGGTGTACTGTTTGACTAGTACACACCTAGGGCAATGTGCAATAAAATTAAAATTTCACATAGCATTTCTGGAATGAATGATGCTTCTTTGTTGTGTTGTACGAACTTGATGGCAAGGCACTTCTTAAGAGATTTTACTCGGTATCCATTCTCATATTCAGAAAGTTCATGAGGGGAGGCTTCTCGACTGCAAACAATCCTGACCATAAGATTGTGTTTTTAATGGAGGAAGCCAGTATATTTATGCAAGAAGGACACTCCCCCATTACTCAACAAATGCTTCATTAAGAGTGGATGGATTAATATATATAAATGAGAAAATACTATTTTCTCATTCTGTAGCCATTGTGTAGAAATTTGACACTTTTGAGTCTGGTTTTAAATATCAGTATGTACCGAGAAACTGGTTTATCACACCGCTAATTTGAATATTAAAATTTAATAATAAAACTGGATGGGCATACAAAGAATAAAACAGTTTCAAGCGATAATGCACACATGTTCCAGTTCCAATATCCCAAGATTTAATCTATTTAAGTTAAATTCATTTCATTTTCCTAAATTCTAGCAAATTACTTGCCCATTACAAATGGCTCTTTTGTCATCCATAGTTACAACCCAATAGATTCTTGTATCATAATTAATCCTGTGGTCTGCCCATAATTTACAACATCTACATCAGCAGTTCCCAAAGTTTTTCAATAATTGAACCCTTCAGAAGACCTTTTCCCCCATGGAACCCTAACTCTGTCCCTAAGCATTGTGAACCCACAAAGTTCTTATTTCTTTCACCTACTCCTATTGCATGGGTGTTTTGTATTAAACACAACTGTCATATGTCAGCAGTAGTTATTAGTCTTTATCCCCTCTCCCTCAAAATACTGCTTTTCAGTACAAATCTGTTTGTCTTGAAATACTTTCAAGTATTCTGTGATACATTTTATTCTAACCCAGAGTAAGTTTCCAAACCCAGAGTAAATTTTGAGTTTGTCCCTAGGTGTGAAGCAGCACCCTCTTGTTACTATTTCCATAGAGACTGAGAATCTTCATTAAGACAACAAAAATGCTGAAATACCATATATAGTCATGGTAAAAACCTTACTCAGAATTTTCTGTAGTGAATTTAAAATCCATTTATGTAAATGATTTCAGCAATATCAATACTGTTATGGATAGTATAGTTAAGATGCTGTTACAAGACTTAAGAATTTGGATCATTTTAATTTTCTACAAGGGAGGGACTATTTACACAGGATTTCCTAAAGGTACTGTATTTATTGGAAAGTTGAGTAATATTGACAATGGTTATTTTCTCATTATTATATATTCTTTGATTTAAAGGCCTGTAGATTATAGGTTACCGATATTGGTTAATTATTGGTCATCCCTGTTGCAATATTTTATTGCAATATGCATAAGAATCAGTGGCAGCAATTCTGGAGAAGGTGGACGTGTCCTAGTGACCAAATGGATTGATGTGAGGGGCAGTCTAACAGAGAGGTGTACCCCAAAATGTATTCTGTTTACTTGGTGTCTAGAACTGAACCAACTTCTGTGGACTCTCCCTGGGTTCACTTTTTCAATTATTATTGTGGTAGGCTTCTGAAAGAACACTTCCTTTCATCAGGCCCTAAGCCTATGGGTTATACATTTGCATTTTCTGCTATTTTTCTTCTGTTTTTCAAATGATGTTATATCAAAGTTATTTTATTGACATAGAGAGTTGCCCAATGCATGATCTCTTGTTTTTTAATGAGCCTTCATTTATATAACACTTCAACTGTCAAAAGGGTTGTTGCTTTCCTCTTGACAACAACCTTTTATTCACTTTTGTAGAAGTAGTCATGCTGTTTCTTGCCAATGGCTCCCCAGAAACACCATATCTGAGGGTGAGACTTAAACCAGGATCTTCTAGGTCCAAATTCAAGCATACATTTCAAAGTGTGTAAGTACAAAATGAACAAGAGCTGTTAAAGAGCATTGTTTAGGAATAAAACACAAAATTATCACAGTGTATTCCTGTGTTTTTGAAGGTTTTAATTTTAACCATCAGTCAGAATTGAATTTTGGTTCTTTTTTAGGCCAAGGCCATATTACTGTTTTTGAATTGCTTCTGAGATATGTTTATGTTTAAACATTGTATTAAATGGTTCGTGGGTTCCATTTCTGCCTATTTCTATATCCTGTTTTGAAGACCTCCATGCACACAGTGGTGATTCTTTGCATTATTTGTTTCCTGATATTGAAATGAGGAGATATTTCCTACTTAGAAAGCTCTACAGGACTTAAGGGCGGACACATGTAGGGCTTTGAATCAGATTGCTTATTTTTAAAAGTACTTAAATAAAAATATTGTGATTCATTATATTATAACATTGTGCGATTGATTAGTCAGCATTTAGAAAAGATATATATATATTTAAAAGCATTTGAACAGCAATATTAAGCACATATTTATACATGGGTTTGTTTCCCCCCCCCAAATCTCTAATGACCTAACATCATAAAATTGAAAACAATGAGTTTCTGATATCAAAACTGCATGCTGATGAAATACGATATAAATAAAATCAGCTCCGACCTTCTTATTTAATATTGGCGTGTGTATTTATGCATTCATTAAGTTTGCATGAGTGACTTGTGTATCATTAGACTGTCTCAGTCTTAAAGTACCTATATCCATACACATGCATTTGCATATATACACAAGCGTGCATATACACATAAATATACATGTAGGCATGCACACACTAGGTGTACATATGTATATATTATGTTTGTGAAGTTACATATTGCATGGTACATTTGCAGACAGATGAATTGCTTATAAATTTAATTAGCAAAACATCGGAGCTATTATAATAAACTGGAAGACTATTCCTAGGCCAAAGCAAAATGGGAAGAGAACAAGCAACACTCTTTATTCTGCCGTTACATGGAGGAAATGCCTTTGAGATTGCTATAGGAAAAAAATTGCCTCACTAACAGTTGGTGCTTCCCTCCCTCCATGTTATATTAACTTTAAAAAGATGGACAAGTTGTAGAAAGTCTGTTTTGAAAATAATGAGGGGAACACTGGCCTTGGCTGAGTTTGTTAACAAAAGTGAGGCGGTTGAATTTGAATTGAAATTCCCACTGGAAAGAAGAGTTCATGCGTTGCAGGCTAAATAAAGATTTAGGGTTTTTATTAGTGAGTGTGAACTGATATCCAAATGGTGCTGCAGAAAAACAAGTTGTTCCTTTTGTGTATCAGCTTAAAGACAATTTGACCAATGCTGAAATAAGTTTGCTCTGATTCTATATGCTTGCACTCTGTCTTGATTTTGCTGATAATATGAAACCTGTCAAAACATATTTAAGGGGTGGAGTTGGGGAGAACCAAACTTTTCTGTACTTTGGCATTAAGGAGCTTTCTCCCTCTCCTTTGAATCTAGGGAGAAACGCAAAACTTGTTTCAGTTGAACTGTGTTAACCAATATACAACAATGATCAAGTACAGCATCCCGTAACTAATGCTGACCCATTTTCCCAAGCAACATTCACTGTGCTTTTAAAAGGTTTTTTTGTGGTTTAAATGTTGTTACATATTTTACAGCATTAGGATCTATGGAATATTTTGACAACTGCAACAGTTCAATGAAGTTGGTAATTTCTTCTTTTAATTATTTTTCATTGAACAGATTTGGAGTTACACTTTTTTTAAAAAGTTTGTTTTTCTAATGCCTTACAACACAATGCTTAACCTTTTTAGCATATTTCTTAAATAGTCATTGACTCTGGGTAGCAACATTTTGACTTTATTGGTGCATAACGTTGATACAACAGTGTGGTATTCTTTCAGCTGGTGATCATACGTGTATGACTGCACATCACTAGATGAGCTGGTGCGTGTGGCTTCACAGATTATCCGCAAGACCCTAAATTACTTATAGAATGGGAAATGAGGCTGGCTTTATGCATTTCATTGAGTAGAATGCTGGTTCGTACAGGCTTCATGTTGTTTATTTCCTTTCCTCCTATGCTAAATATAGTGCAAAGTAATGTTTCTTTGATTGTTTTGAAGCAATCTGTTAGATAACTGAGATGAATGAAACATTACCTAGATGTTTCTGTGGGTTCACTGAGACCTATTAATTTAAGGTAGTTTTTTTTTTAATGGTGGTTGCAAGTAATATTGCTTTGAAAATGTCTAGCAGCCGAGTCCTTTGGACAGAGATAAAATGGTCCTTATTCTTACACTGCACCCACGTAAACCTATAAAGATCACTGGATCTGCCGTACTCAAAGTAAACCTCCTCACCAGTACTTTAGAGCTGTCTTAACATAATATTTGAATAACTGATTGATTGAGCAGGCATATATCTTCCCTAAAGTAATAGGGAACATACGGGAAGAAACAACAAATATCACTTAAGATTTGGATCGAAACAAATGGCCTTTTTAGACTTTGTGTTTAGAAGAAAGGCCTGTCATGCCTGCTCTTCCATTGATCCAGTGAATTTCCCTTGTATCCATCAAACCTAGATGGTTTAGGGGGATTGAAATTTAAAAAGGAACAGTGCAAGGGAGATACAGTTCTCCTAGATTTGGGTTGGTACACGTGCATCTTCTAGATCTTGCAGATTTACTCACCTGTATTTTAGAGGATATACCAGGGTAACATGGGGCCCCCTGGTGGTGCTGCAAGTTAAACCGCTGAGCTGATGAACTTGCTGACCAAAAGGTTGGAGGTTCAAATCCGGGGAGTGGGGTGAGCTCCCGCTGTTAGGCCCCAGCTTCTGCCAACCTAACAGTTGGAAAACATGCACATTTGAGAAGGTCAATAGGTACCGCTTCTGTGGGAAGGTAATGGCGTTCCATGCAGTCATGCTGGCCACATGACCATGAAGATGTCTACGGACAACGCCACAATTTGGCCTAGAAATGGAGATGAGTACCACCCCCCAGAGTCGGACACGACTAGACAATGTCAGGGGAAACCTCTATCCTTTTACCAGGATAACATGTACTCTATATAATCATGTATAACTATAGAAATGTTAGTTAAAAATCAAACCCCCAAAACCAAGGTTGACTTGTCCATGGGGCACTGTGAGCACTGCAACTTAACTCTTGCCTAAAAGAAGGAACCTTCCCCTTCTCTGAGTAGTGAAAGAGAAGAACTTACTCTGTTCCAGGAGAACCTAAAAGAGGCACTAAGCCCCTCTATTCTCTGCCATGGTGCTTCTTCTGGCCTTTTTTGGATGTCAGGGCAAAGAAATGTCAGTAGTGGCCAGGGACGACTGCCACCCCAAGGTCACATTGGTGCTTTCCCCTCTCTGCAGACTTATAACAAAATAATTTTGGGCCCAAAACCTCCCATCAAGTTATACAGGAGGTTGGCTTTGCATTATACATGAGTATAATGCAATTATGGAACCAAATTTAAAGAAACCCTTGACTTTCAAGGCATCATGTGATGTTGAACTAGGGTTGTATCAGAAGGACAAGAGTGAGCATAAAGACTCAGTCTAGTCCCTTGAAGGATCACTATTGACCAAGTATGCTGAACAGTATGCTTTGCTGCTCCAATGTCGGTTAGATAGGAAAACATTACACTATAGAACTTGGGAAGAAAGAAGGTTTCCCAACTGTATCTCATGTCTTCCATACTACTTACCATTTAGTACATTGAAGACATTCCCTGAGTTTTGAGAACAGCTTTTAGGTGGCAGGAATGGTGCATAAGCAAACACTCCCACTTTTCTGCCTTTACAGTAGTGAATACATTTTCTTTCTGTTTAAATGTAAATCCCATAAAATAACTAGCCACAACAGTGTGTTGTTTTGTGTCTAGCAAAATGTAAACTACAACCTTGGATTGTAACAATGAAATGTTGGCTTACCCACCACTTGCAAAAAATCGGGATTGAATTTCTAGGCACTAATCCGTTACTAAGTAGAGAGCACCTACAATAAAGCTAGCCTTATTTAATATTCACCTCTGTTCTCCACACGTTAATAATTTCTTAAAATTGGAACCTCTATCCTATTATTGAAAAGTTTTAAGCATTTTGTAATCTAACTTTAGTTATTTAGACTAATGAATAAAACAGTCTAATATTGAACATTAGTATTTAAGTAGCTGTAGACTAAACTAGAGTTAAAAGTTCTTCTTGGATTAACAAACTTTGTAAATATGTCTTCTTTCCTTTCAGCAAGGAGCAAATAATGCTGAGAAATTTGACTATGTAAGTGAATTCTCAATATTTCCTGTGCTTAAGTTTGAAAGTGCTGTAGTGAGACATACAGCATTTCCTCATCAATTCTGATGGTGGATTGTCATTCAAAATCTGTTTGGTTTATCAGGTTCTTGAACATCTGAGCACTGTGGTTAAGTTCACCATTCTGCTCTCCTTTTCCACCCAAGTGCAAGGATGGTATCAGAAGCACCTACTTTTTGATTTAAACTCGAGTCATTTTGTTATTTCTGATCTGAAGCAATCTTGTAACAATCTGGTAACAAGATTATAAGCCTTAGGCTGGTTTTGGTTTCCTGTTGTCAATAGTTTAAATAAAGAACAAATGCCATTTGTGGCTTAGATGTAAAAATTAATTTAAATCAAGTAGCAAATGCTTCCAGTCTTCCATAGTACGAAGTAGTGGCTTAGCACTGGGTTTGAAATCACCTAGATACTTGTGTTGCATTTTGACCTTGTGATATTTATCATTTACACTATGAACAAGCTGGGATGCTTTTTTTTAACAGGTGATGCAGTTCATGAATAAGATGGCTGGCAATGAATATGTTGGGTTCAGTAATGCCACGTAAGTATGCTTCACTCTATTGTAACACCAGTTAGCCTTTAAATGTAGCTTTATTAGTTAGGCCACTTTTTGTCACCATCCCGCCCCTTGTGGCATCTGTTGAGGAGAAAGGAAGGATGTCGAATATCGGTAGAAAGTGTGTGCTTCGGCCTCCCATAAAAGCCCAATTTCATAATCTATGCCTTTCCAAAAACAGTGGGTTGAGCCCTTCTTAGCAGTGTTAACATCATTAACATAGGAGTTATACAGATCGGGATGGAGGGGGGGATGTATGAGGGAGGAGGCTATGGTCTTAACTGAAATGTGGGATTTTATTGATCGTTGTTTCATCGTGGTTTTCTGTTTGTTCTGACTGAAGGATTTTAATGTTTGTATTATGTTTGTAAGCCACCTTGTGTCTGCATTGTGGAGAAAGGCAGGATATAAATAACTTAAGTAAGTAAGTAAATAAATAAATATATGCTTGCAACACCAATAAGACCAAACATTTGGAGGGGATGTTGATACACACAGTATCCCAAAATCCCTTTGCATTTTTTTTCTTTTTACACCTCCTTGTACTTAGTATGAAGATCGAGAAAGGGTTAAGGAAGTCATTCAGTTGAAAGAACTAAGAGAGGTCCCACAGTGTAGAATCCTGCCCCTTTGGTGTCAACGCACCCAGATGACTGCTGGATGTATTGACACATTGTTGGGCAGGGTTTTATGTGTGCGACCACTTCTTCATGATTTTGCCATGCTGATGTGCAGAAGCGCCCTCATAGCACCATAATGTCATCTGCATGTACATCAGAGGATTTCATTTCTCCTGTTTAGTTTTAAGCATTGCAAAGCACATATGTATTAATGAGTCCCTGTAAGTTGCACAAGAAATCCAACCTCTCTGTTTAAGAACCAGCTGTATACGCTTTCTAAATAAAGATTTTGGGTTTTAAAGGTGTTTCCATATACAAACTGCTTTCTAACTGATTTGTTAATTTCAAAAGCATTCAGTTCTGTTCATTTCCAGTTTTGATGTGCATTTCTGCAATATATTTTTTTCTAGGTTCCAATCTGAAAGGGAGAGTGGGGACCGAAACTTTGCAATAGGATATTATTTGAAAGAGAAAAAGGTCTGTTTCTGAATTGTATTCCTTCTATTTCCTTAATGTTAAGGTACTATTTACTAAATAAAGTTCATTTGTTTCTTTTATGTTGAGTAGGAGAAGTGATGTAGTGTAATTTCAGTAATGAATGCATGTAAACATAAATAAAATAACAGTTTCTGTTCTTTGAGAATTTCTTAGGGGGAAGGAGTTGGTGGTAGCAGTAGTAGGAGTTTTTCTTTTTCCACTCTTATCTTCCAATTTTGTATTCCACTTTTCTATAAGCTTGTAACCAGTGCTAAGGGACTAAGATGTCACAATGCCATCTCATCTCCATTCTCAGGGCAGGAGGCATATTTATGTAAAGTGCCAAAGAAATATTAAATTGAATAGAAGTAACATATGCAGTGCTTTAGAAAGATATTCCATTTTTTTCTTTTTTAAAGCTGGGAGAAAGCAGTCAATTCATCTGATTTATGGTAGGGAGGGCAGACCTGAAACTGTATTATGGATTATTGATTTGTCTTTTGCAAAATGGGAGGAAAGGAGAAGGAAGAAAATGTAGCAGCTGCTCTTCTGATCTGTGTACAGTATTTAGCTTCAGTAAGAATATATTTCCCCTAATAGCAGTGAGATATCTTTGAAGATACTTGCATAAGCTCCCATTAAATCCAGGTGCTTTATGTGTCTGTCCCACCTGAAATGTATGTCCTACTCAGAGACTCAAAATATGGCAGAAACAACTACTGGAGCTGTTAGCTTTATGTAGTGGATAAGAACCAAGGAAGCAAACAAAAAAGAGGCAAGAAGGCTTGACCCTTCATATTATGTACACTTAAAGGCTTCATTGCCATTTGTTAGGGTTATATTAAAATTATGACACAAATTAACTTACATTTCTAGGTTTGGAATGCAAGTAGCATCAAGCTTTCACATAAAGGGAAAGTTAAATATCTGATAGCTAAGTCTTGGAATTTGCTTCTGTAGATAACACAGAGCTTACACTGGCTGCTAATTTGGGGGCCAGGCACACCCAACTGTATCTGCTACAGTGCCATGTTGACATTCATATGATTCAGCCTTCTTTTGACCACATACACTTTGACTGGATCATCATCTCACCCTCAATGTGGCCATGGGAGCTCCTGGCCACTACAGATACACAGTTCTGACATCAGTAGAGGTGCCCATAAATCAAGAAGAAGGAAGGAGCGATCTCTCTTTCTCCTTGCAGATTGTGTGAATGCCTCTGGCTATGTCAGAACAGGGCACCTGCAACTGGTATCGGCATGTAGCATCATGGGTATGATCCATCCCTTGCGTGAATGAACAGGGATGATCCTGTTGTCCAGATTTTCCCAAAGCCATAGGGTCCTTCAGTTTCCAGCAAACTCGAGTATATCCGTAGCTTTACCCCCACCCTGAAAAAAAAACCCTATGATACTCTCTGAAAGTTGGTGAACAGTCTTAAAAGAATTTGGAGTAGGATTAGGTTTTCTTGCCCATGTTGACACTCCCCCCTAGTGACAGGGGTTGAGTTAAGCTCAGGGAATTTATTGTGTAAAGAGCTTTTGTTTTCTTTCTATACAATGCTTTAGTCACAAATGCTTTATGTCTCATATTGTGCTTTTATTTTATATTTGTAGTGTTTTCCTGAGGGAACAGATATGGTTGGCATATTGGACTTCTACTTCCAGGTAACTAATTAATCATCATCATCATTATGTTGGAAATCTTCAGAGAGCACATGTAAAATGCTATAGAAAAAAAATCCTGTCAGAACAGGAACCAAAAATTATCACGACGAACATATTTACATATGCACATTTTGGTAAGACAATACATTATTGTATATCAGTCTCATATACTGCTGAGGCTTACTGCAGCATTATAAACCATAAAATCAGTCTGCATGTAAAATAATAGGTTTTAGCTGCTGATCTAAACATTCAAGTCAAAGTTGTATGTTTGGAATAGACTTGGGAATTTTCTTTGGCTCAAAAGGATTTTATTACATATGTTCTAAATACCATCTTTAAATTCTCCACTGATATATTAAATCATAGATCTAATCTTTGACATTGAAGAATTCAGAAACCTCTGAAAGAAGCTGTTAGTTGGATGTATAACCACTAAAACTATGCATCTTTGTAAATTCATTCAAGTTGGAAGACATGGCAACATCATTGGAAGTATATAACACTAATAGATTTCTCTCCAGTTTATTAAATGTGCAGCTGTGTAAGAATACATGGTGATTATGCATGTAAGTAATGGAAGTTACTGAATTGTCTTAAAAGAGTAGAAGTTTCTTATTGGAGACCTTTGAACGCATTGACTTGAATTGTTGTATGCAGATTCAAGTGAACACCAGTACTTGAAATGGATCTACCTGGTGTGTGGATTTATTTGTGTGCTTTGATAATGTTACACAAGCACTCTTTAGAAGACCTTGACAGCGTATGAATAATTGATTCACTGCACATTTCATAAGGACAATTCAGACTTCATGTGTGTATAAAGCTATTAAGCTTTTGAGACCTCTTTTTACATCTTACTGTTGAGTTTTTGAAGATAAGTGACATCTGCACTTGACCTTGCTGCTCTATTGTACACTGTGGCTTAGACAGAGAGAGATTAGGAACTTGACCTTCCTTTCCTGCCTGTTTATTTCCTCTGTCAGTCACCTATCCCAAAGTATTATGGGCTGATTACATTACCTGGTTCAGCTGGGGTTATTTAAGTGCCTACTCTCAGCTGTAAAGAAGAGAAACTAACCCAGATTGAACTTCTTCCATCTTGTTTTTCTGGCCTGTGCTATCTGCTTTCTCCCGCTTCATAAAGGAGGATGCTTTGTAATATGGTTGTGTTGTCTGACATCCTTATTCCTTTTAGAGTAGGTTAGGAAGCTCAAGGCTGTTTTTATTCTAAAAATGTATTTTGATACATATTCCTCCTATTCAGGCTTTTAATCTTATTTTCTGCCTCCATTTGGTTCTTTTAAGTTCATCCTCCTAAGATGAACGTTTCCACTGTTGCTGGAAAAGAGACTCTAGCAGGCTTTTCATTCCAGTGACAGTCTCTCTGCATCAATGCCTTCTAATAAAATTCCACTTAAACCTGAAGTGCAGGATACTTCCCATTCCTTGCAACATATCCGGTGTTGCCCTGAGAAGTGTCTTGATGTAAGAATGTCTTCTAGGGGGGTGGGGGGGTTCAGGTGTCTTCGAGGGGTGGAAAGGTCGTTTGCTTGCACAACTTTGGAACCAGTTGTGCAGTTCCAAAGTTGTGAATCATGAGGAAACATTCCATAAAATGCACTTGAATAAACCTTTTCCTGAACTTAATGAAAAGTGTGCTGTTGACTAGCACACGGCCATACAGCCGGAAAACCATACAATACCCCAGTGATTCTGGCTGTAAAAGCCTTCGACAATATATTTTCCTTTTGTTTGTGACTATATTATAATATGCTGTAAGATCAATGTAGTTTATAGCGCCTGTGGTGATCTATAAAGAGCTCAGGATATCCTAAATGCATTTGCATTGACAGGACATGTTCCAGGATTGGTCTTGATAATAATAGTAATATTAATAGTAATAATATATATAAAAAATTTATTTGTAGACTGCCCTATCTCCCTGAATGGACTCAAGGTGGCTTCCAGCATATATGGCAAGCATCCAATGTCAATTAGGAGAAACATACAAACATATTACATCAAAACAAAAAACTTAACTAGCCCATACAAACATAAACACGAAGTATAAAACACCTAAAAACTTACCAACTAAAACCTTATAGAGAGATGAGATAATTTTCAACAACCAACAGGCTGAAATCAATTGCAGTATCTAGACAATCTAGGGAAGGATGTAAGTCGAGACAAGTCAGTCTTCCTCCTTTCTATACGCCAGAGCACATAGATGGGGTTTTAGCAACTTTTTGAGAGAGGGAGCAGTTTTTAGTTCTTTTCAGAGGAAGTTCCAGAGGCTGCGAGTGATCACAGAGAAGGCTGTCTCTCTCATTCCACCAGCCGTGCTTGAGACGGGTGGGACTGAGAGCAAGGCCTCCTCCGCAGATCGCAGTGCTCAGGCTGGTTTGTATACGGAGATGTGGTTCTGCAGGTAGTCTGGGCCCGAACCATTTAGGGTTTTATAGGTAATGACCAGCACTTTGTATTTAGCCCAGAAGCAGATCGGCAGCCAGTAGAGCTGTTGCAACATAGGAGTCATCCTCTCACCCTTCGGCACTCCGGTTAGTAACCTAGCTGCCAATCTCTGAACTAGTTGCAGCTTCCGAACTATCTTCAAAGGCAGTCCCACGTAGAGTGTTGTGGTAGCCCAGACGGGAAGTAACCAGGGTGTGGACTACCATGGCCAGATCGGGCGTCTCAAGGTATGGGCGCAGCTGGTGCACAAGTCTTAGTTGTGCGAAGGCGTTCCTGGCCACCGCCGACACCTGGAGTTCCGGGGTTTTCTAAGTAGAAAATCACCATCATGCTTTCTAATCCTATTCCATGTCAAGTGGCTGATGAACTTGCAACATTTTGTAACAATTATATTTTTAAAAGGCAATTTTGTGTGATAGCAATTTTACTGCCTAATGGGAATTGTCATGATCCTATCTGTATATTTCCAGAGTGATTTATAAAGAATGTTAAAAGTATTCTGTTTCATTCTTTCTTTCAGCTTTGCTCCATAGAAGTGACTTGTGAGTCAGCCAGTGTTATGGCTGCCACATTGGCTAATGGGGGATTTTGCCCAATCACGGGTGAGAGAGTCCTGAGTCCCGAAGCTGTTCGCAACACTCTGAGTTTAATGCATTCCTGCGGCATGTATGACTTTTCAGGACAGTTTGCTTTTCATGTAAGTGCTTTGATCAAAATAGTGTTTAATAGATCTGTAGAAAGAAATATTAGGGTGGCAGATACTCATTTTGTTTGTAGCACAGTAAGTTTGTACTAAAAAGTGCATAACTGGCAACTGGTTAAAAAACCCCAGAGATAGCCGCCCCGAGTACCCATTAGGGAGATGGTGGTGGGGTATAAATAAAGATGATGATGATGATTATTATTATTATTGAAGATTGAATTAGATGAATGCCTCCTTGGGTAAAATTGTGTAAGCTTTCATGTATCCACACTTGAATCTGGCCACTGGGGACAGAGTGTGCTATGTAATGGCGGGTACTCTTGCCTGCAGAGATACCAAGAAAATTCTGTGTCAGCATTTCCCAAAGGATGGAATAGTTAAAGAACCAGGCCATAGCTTTGGGTTCAGCTGCTGGTCAGAGGCCCTTGTGTTACTTCCTTTGTAGTGATGCCGTTAAGAGAGAGGGAGAGACCCTAAAGCTTCCCTTTTTCATTAGCATGCCTTCAGTCTTTGTTTGTTTTTCTCATTATGAGTATTATTAGAGTTTATGGACATCCCTTCTTCCAGAGGACGTACTTGTCACTGCTGAAAGCTGAAATGAGATTGAACCCATCTTGATCTTAATTGTATATGTTTGAGCATAAGAAAATGCAGCAAGGATATGTGTGTTCCCTTGTCTTCACGTTTCCCAATTCTCATCACTGACCAAGGAGTAGCAAAAGACCAGTGTTTTATTGGTGCTAGCAGAGCAACAGGAGCTGTCTTCTATATTGTGATAAAGGGCTTATGTAGCACTGATTTGTATAGCTCAGCTATTTTTAACTGGAGCATTCTTGTTCTTTAATACAGGTGGGTCTTCCTGCAAAATCTGGAGTTGCGGGTGGCATTCTTTTAGTGGTTCCTAATGTTATGGGAATGATGTGCTGGTCGCCTCCTCTGGACAAGATGGGCAATAGCGTGAAAGGAATACACTTTTGTCATGTAAGTGCAGCTGATCACTTAAATATGGTCTTTTTTATCCATCTTTTGCTAGTTTGCATACGAATTAGTTGTCTTCCTGATTGAACCTCTGCCTTCAATTTGGTTATTTATTTTGGAAAGTTGTATTTGAAATGTTCCATCTTGTCTCCTTCACTGTGCTTATAATATAATATAATATAATATAATATAATGTAATATATTGTATATACATTTAATATTGATAATATTATAATGTAATACAATATACTACTACTAATAATGATATTTTAATTATATATTTTATATTAAATGTAATATTACTAATAATGTTACAGTATAATGTTATAATACATTGTAATATATAATATTGATATTGTGCTATGATAATAATATAATATATTGTATTTACTTTTTACTTGTAAGCCGCTCTGAGTACCCTTCGGGGTGAGAAGGGCGCGCGGCATATAAATGTCGTAAATAAATAAATAAATTTACAAGCTACTGGGAAATAAGATATGTGAAAAGGCATTTGCTGATTCACACACTTAATTAAGAGGAAAACTCTTCTGTTCAAAACACCTTATCATTCACACTTTTAAGAAGTTTGCTAAATCTCCCTTTACCTCATGTAATTTTGATTTCAATTTTATTTATATGGTGTGGCTTCATAATAATAAAATGTTTAACAACAGGGGTGAGATTTATTTATCTGTCGTGTCAGAGCAACCAGTCCATTATATTACATTTCTAACAGAACAAAGCAAACAAACAGATAAATACAAAACTTGTGAGTTTGGTAGTTGGTTAAATGTCCTTTGACCAGTATCTGGCCACTTGGAGTGCTTCCGGTGTTGCCGCAAGAAGGTCCTCCATTGTGCATGTGGCAGGGCTCAGGTTGCATTGCAGCAGGTGGTCAGTGGTTTGTTCTTCTCCGCACTCGCATGCCGTGGATTCCACCCTGTAGCCCCATTTCTTAAGGCTGGCTCTGCATCTTGTGGTGCCAGAGTGCAGTCTGTTCAGCGCCTTCCAAGTCGCCCAGTCTTCTGTGTGCCCAGTGGGGAGTCTCTCATTTGGTATCAGCCATTGGTTGAGGTGCTGGGTTTGAGCCTGCCACTTTTGGACTCTCGCTTGCTGAGGTGTTCCAGTGAGTGTCTCTGTAGATCTTAGAAAACTATTTCTAGATTTAAGTCATTGACGTGCTGGCTGGTACCCAAACGGGATGAGCTGGAGATGTCGCAAAGGGATCAGAAGACCACAAATGTCTGTTGTTGTAGTAGTTGTTGTTATTTGATATTGGGATGACTCTCCCAAAATAACGATAAACTTTATCTTTTAAAGGTCTTTTAGGGACCTTTGGAGACAGGATGTTAGCATTCTCAGACCATTTAAAAACCAATTAGAAGAATGTTTTGGAATTTTTATGTGCAATTCAGGTTTACATGAAGATTTTCTTTCAGGTTAGCTCTTTAGAATCAGATAACACAAAGTTGAAACATAACAACTTGAAATAGTGTTTACATTTGTGTATGTGTAAAACGATGTCATGTTTTCACCATTGCAGGAACTTGTTTCTTTGTGCAATTTCCATAACTATGATAACTTGAGGCACTTTGCAAAGAAGCTTGATCCTCGGAGAGAAGGCGGTGATCAGCGGGTAAGTTGATATTTCATGCTATTTAAGCAGCACGTGTGTGTGAGGTTTCTTATTTTCAAAATAAGTGTTCAATAATGTTTCATGCATCAGTACTTTGAGATCTGAGCATTCAAATGTAATTTAAATAAAATCTGTAATACTTCGAACATTATACCAGATGCTGGCACTCACTGGTGATTGTTCTGCCTACTTTCCTAGAAGTCATCAGGCAGACTAATAGTTGGAGGTTTTCTGTCTTGCTTTTTTTTAGCTTAGCTAGTGTGATATATTTATATAAGCTAAACTGGGAACAGGGCATAAACATCTTCTCTGGATGGTGTGCAAGAAGTTAAACTTCAGCCTTTTACTCCTTGTGCCGCAGCAGTTGCCACACCATGGGAAAGATCATTGTTGCTTGTATTCACTGGTGGGGAAGAGACAGGGGTGCAATTCAGACAGTGAAGATGTGGTTGGCCTGGGCTCCAAGGGGAAGGAAAAGGAAGAAACACGCAATCTGTGTGTGTCCTCTCTTTTCTTTTCCCCTCTGCATTGAGACAATCGTCTTCATTGTCTGATCTGCATCCTTCTTCCTATTCCCATTGGAATTCCTCCTATGGGGTAGAGGGAAGGACGCAGAACTATATGGGGGAACCTATTACATTCTCCCTTCTCAATGTGGGATCTGAGCCAGAGAATATTCTAGGAAGTTTTTATTTTGATGGGAATGGAACAGTAACTCATATTTTGTGGCTGGCTAGAGTAGCCATGTTAACGTTGGCAGAAACTCATCCTCCCAGGTGACAGAAGCGGTGCTTTGTCATAGTGATATTAGTGGAAATTCCAGATTTCCTCACTGGGTCTTCATTTGGAGCTGGCATGAATAGCTGAGCCTTCCTGATTCGACCCTGTGCAATTGAAATGCTCCAGTCCCTTAACAATGTGCGAGACACCTCAAGTCCCTTTGGGGAGATTGTGGAGGGATACAAGAATAAAATAATAATGACCACCTGCTGCAATGCACCCTGAGCCCTGCCACATGCACAAGGGAGGACCTTCTTGCAGCAACACCAGAGGCACTCCAAGTGGCCAGATACTGGTCAAAGGACATTTAATCAACTCTCATACTCACAAATTCTGTAATCTGCTTGTTTGCTTTGTTTCTGTTAGAAATGTAATATAATTTGACTGGTTGTTCTGACACGACAAATAAATAAATTATTATTATTATCATCATCATCATCCTAACCTCACAACCTTAATAATAATAACTTAATTTTTGTATCCTGCCACCATCTTCCCAAAGGGACTCTGGGCGGCTTACAAAGCCCAGTCAAACAGAGTTAAAATACAACACAATAAAAATATGTATACAAAACATCATAAAAGTATAAACCATCATACAACAACCATTAGCCAGGCATAATGGACATTTCAGGACTAAGGGACACAGATTCCTGTGTAATCATGGAAAGCAAAGTGTACATAATTGCTATGGTGAACTGAAATGTAAAAGTCTATTCGAGAACAACTAGTTAGTCCAAAGGGAGCCTCATCAACCATAGTATGGGGTGAAAACTTATATGTTGCTACCAATCTATTCTACTCTGACTTAAGTAGTCCACCCAGATTGCACAAATCATTTCGTTCTGTGTCAAAACTTTTAAAATTAGTTACTTAACCCAGGTTGATCTACACTGTAAATCTAACACAGTTTAATCATCATGGCTTAATGCTATGACATGGTGGGAGTTGTAGTTTTATAAGGTGTTTAGCCTTCTCTTCCAAAGAGTGCTGGTGCCTTACCAAACTGCAACTCCCAGGATTCCACAGCATTGAGTCATGGCAGTCAAAGTGCTGTCAAACTGCATTAAATCTACTGTCCAGACGCACCCCATGTCAGGAGGAAATGAAGGGTGGGGTGATATTTGACAGCCAATGAAAGCTGATTGCTAAATATCAGTAATGCTAGACTGTTTCTTTTCACCAGTAATCTAATACATAATGTGTATTGCTTGAACAACTAGCTTTCCTATGGACCAATGGACTATGAGAGTCTTCAACATGAACTTGCATTAAAAGAGACTTTGTGGAAAAAAGTGTCACCTGAGTCAAATGAGGACATCTCCACCACTGTAGTGTATAGAATGGAAGGCCGGGGAGAGCAGAACTAAAGGCTCAGGCTCTAGTGTCAGAGAGGCCGCTTCGTCTGTTAAACATGATCCAGATCTTCTAGACCACAGAGTTCTAGATATTAAAGCTTTGTTCTTGTACTTTCAGTGTTTTCTAAATACTGCTAGAGATACCAAAAAATAGTATCTAATTTTATACTAATTGCTTTAATTGCTTTTTCAGAAAGCAGGTGGAAACCAAATCTGAAAATGTATGTTGTTTAAATTTTCAGTTGCATCATGCTTAAGGAATGGATTTAAAAGGGAATTTTAAGAGTGAGGGGGATGCCGGAAAAATCTGTGGAAATGCAAATACAAATAGTGTTAACTATGAAGCAAGAAAATGAGAACAGTAGATATAGGAGGATTTAATTGTCAAATCATACATTTTTATAAGTGGATGTATCTTCCAATTGTTAGGATGTCCTGGGGCATTAGTATTTAATAGCCCCATGTTGGATATGTTTTTCCCCATAAGCTCTGAGGCTCTTGTTTATTAATCAAGGTAACTTGCTTTCAGTGTAAGCAGCAGCAAATATTCAACTTCTGCAGCATGGACAAAACTGAAAACAAATATGTAAACAACTATATACCCATATATAAATGTCTTGCTTAAACACACTTAAAATATTAGTGTACTAGTGTACACTAGTGTACATCTTCTAGTAACAGCACATTAGAAGAGTCTGTTTATATTAAGCCTTCAGATATGACTGTAACAATTGTTCATGCACCAGGTTGAGATACAGCTTCACATACGTCCTTTCTAATATTAATAGAAAGCTTCCTGTTTGCAAGATTGGCCCATTAATTGCTTCCTTACTTAGTGTGGCTTTGCGGTTGTGACAGATGGCCCCTACTTAGTAAGTGTCTATTCGGGGATGCGAGGAAAGACTCGTTTGCTTGCTATGACATTGTAGAAGGACTCTTGGAAAAGTTTACATGTTTTATTGCTCCTTTTTAAAATAAAAAGAACAGTTTGCTACTTCTTATCCTGGGTAATGAGCAACGCTGCTTGTTCATAATGGGTTGCAGACCTTCTGGTATAAAAATCTCCAAAGTGACCCAACACAACATTTTTAAATTATTATGCACGTGTTAGTTACTCTGTGCCTAGAAGTCTAATGACATCAGTAGGTACTGGATTTTTTTAAATCCACAGTGTTGGTAGTCTTCCTATGATGAGATAAACTTCAGCAAAAGCTAAGGCTATATCAAAATTAGGATGTGTTTTCTTTAGAGGGAAAGGATGCAGAGGAATAAAGATCTCTGCAGCATAGTAACCAGGAGAACATGGGCAGCCATATAACAGGGCTAGAATGCTGCACATGTGTTCCCGTTAAGATTGATGGGACTGCCTTTAAAGATAGTGTCCCAGAATATTTGTGAGGGGTAGGCAGTTGGAGTACATTTCATATATGTTGCCTCATATATGTTATCCATTTATTTCTGGGGTCTATTTAAAATCTTGGTAATAACTTCTAAAGCTGAGTGGGGAATATGTGGTTGTCCTGATGTTGTTAGGTCACAGCTCCTATCTACCCTCACAGTGGTGTGAGATAATTCTTCATAAACATTTGGAGGGCCACGTGTCATATAGAAACACGGGTGATTCATAGCCAGGTTGTTTACCAACCCGTGTTTACACCTGTCGAGAAGCAAATAACAGATTTAATACCCAAGGTGTCTTTATCTCATATCACTGGTGGGGTACCAGGAGAATCTTAAACTCATATTTGTGGCATCTGTTCCTTACCAGATCAATTTCACCCCAAAGTCCTGTAAGGCTTTTTAAAAAACCTCATTAAGCTTTTTATTGATTCTGCTGCTGGCTGGTATGCAAATATTATTGGATGCTATTTTTAATGTGCATGTTGAGTTGCTTTCATTTTACCACTTTCATTGTGTTGTCCTAAAAGGTGGGTTAGACACAAATAATAATCCTTTCATTGGAGAGGGGTTCCTCCTCCCTGGGGAGAGATCAGAGGTCTGCTTTGGCCTTGTGCACTCCCCCATTTTCCTGCATGTTTGTCCTCCTAGGTTTCCTTAGGCACTCCTGCCTCAGGCTTTGAGAAGTATGAACCTACACAAGACGTACATGGAGAATGGCTTGCAGAAGACCATGAAACACTTAATCTGTGTGACGTGGAAATTGATGCTAAGAGGATGGGTTTCAGCTAGATTGAAATCTAGATTGGGATGGAGACAAGCGCTCTCCCTCCTGACACAGTGGCTCCCTTGCTACTTCCCTGAAGCTGTGGGCTTCAGTAGTTACCTGCAACATATTGTGCATCTATGAAGCATTTGACATAACGCAGATTGGTGTCCTTCCTTTGATTGCATTGTGACTTGCTTCATTACGTTAAAATCCAAAGCAAAAGGGGCACGTCATGACTAAGAGTTTTCAAACACCTAGAAGAATTGTCTTGTCTTTAACATCATGCACTGTTATGTGAGCTACTGTTTATGTAGAAGAAAGGTGCTTGTAATGTGAATCCTGTTCATTGTAGGTTCATGTTTACATTTAAAGCCAATTAGAGCAAGAACTTGCTCAAATGTGATGTGGGAGAGTAGTCTATATGACCCTAAGAAAAAGGATGTGAGCTCCAATCTAGCCAGCATGATTATATAGTAAAGTGGCTGAATCTCAGTGAAACCTGTGATGAGCAAAACCAAAACATGATACCAGAAGCTGACAGAGCATCACTATTAACTGTTTTTTTGTCTAAATGTTCTCAATGCTTAGCAGGCACTCCTGTTTACGGCAGTAACAGATCTTGATATTCAAGCATTTTATTTGTCGTATTTTTTTCTTTTATTGTCATCATTAATGCTTCATTAGAAATGTCAATGCTTTTAAACTTTGTTTTAGCATGTGTTGTATGCCTTCCCTTAGTTTCAGTTATTTGTCATGTGTTCCATTTTTTCATTTGCATTGTATGTTATTTATGTATCTTCAGCCCATATACTTTTGTATCATAATAAATTTTATTTTAAGCTGATCAACTTGTATTTTGGTCCTTTTCGTATGCATCTGAAGTCATGATTTGAAGTTAAAAATGGGGAAAAGCCCTTGAATGTTCTATGTTTAAACGGAAATATTCTTTATAAATCATTGCTGTTCATATAAGCTCAAATTACAAAATTTTGGTTATATCTTGGATTACAATGTGTTAGAGAATTTATTTTAGTTGTATTCTTTGCTCCTTCCCCCTCCCCCCCCCCCCCCCCCCCCCCCCCCCCCCCCCACTTTTGATATATATATTTTTGGGACATATTGCCTTGAATGCAAAGAACTACATTTTATGTTCTGCCTACATCTACGTCCTTCTCAGGTATTAAGAAAGATAGGTAATTGAAACACAAGAGGAAGACTGCTCTTGCTTAACCTCCAATGCAGTCACATTCATCACTTGAAAAGTAGCTTTGTGAAAATGGCTTTCTTTTTTCCATGGAGCCTCTCCTCACAGCCTGGTAACCAGAAAAATTGGTTTTGTCTTCCCCCATTGTAAAATACCTTAAAAGTTATTTGGTCCCCTTTGCTCCTCTTATTTTCACCTGACTAGGCTACCTAAAAAGGCAGTGCTGGAGTCTGACAGGTTGCTTGTAAGTGTGGAGTATGGCAGGACCCTGAGTAAAAGTAAGAATAGGTGATTCCTCCTACTGTTCAGATCATAAATACCTCACAATCACTCACTGTACATCTGGGATCAAAACCTATCAACGAATATTTATTTTGTTTACTGTGTAAAGGCATAGACATGTTATTTTTTTTTTAATCCCAAAAATAGGTTGACTTATCCATGGGTTAGTGTAAGTACTCTACCTTAGCTCTTACCATAAAAAGGAATATGTCTCTTTTGCTGAGTGGTGGAAGGCAAGGGCTTAGTCCATACTGGGAGAACCTAAAAAGAAGCACCAACTTCTGTGCTCTCTGCCACAATGTGGTCTTTTTGAATGCCAGGGCAGGAAAATGGCAGCAGTGGTGGCCAAAAGTCAATGACCTTCGAGTGGCACTTTCCTCTCTCTGCAGAATGACACTCATCTATAGGCCATATTGGAATCCAAAATTTTGGCCCCCAAACCTGCCTTTGACTTGTTCATGCGTACATATGGAGCTTTGCAAGCTAAACAAGCTTTCATTTGAGCAGATCTTATAGACTTATTCTATGATTCTATGACTGTGGTTCTGTGCATTTCATGCAAATGCAGACCACACAGATTTATGTTTCTGTTTCTATGGAACAGGTCCCCAATGGGTATATTTGCCTCTTTGGCAATGAGAATTAATATGCTAAAGAGACTTTGAAATTGTTTCCTGTCTTACATGCAGATATATTTCTGATCTTCAGCCCATTCGAGGGAGTTGGTCCCACTAAAATCAGTGGCAGAAAATCCTGGGGGTAGTTGAAAGTGCAGTACTCTGCATCAGCCTTGGAGGTGGCTTCACTGGCCACCTCCATCCTGTTGTGGTGGCTGTCTGGAGGTGCCAAAACTGGTTCAGCTCAACTGAATGCCCCCCTTACCTTGGGGGTCCTGTTGCTGTTGTTGCAGTGGCTGCCAGGCTCCTAGCGTTCCTTGGGCAGAAGCTGGTGCTTGAAAGGAGGACACCCTTGTAACTCAGAAAGGGAGAGGAGGTAACGATCTCTCTCCCCGCTCCAAGTTGATTGAACACTTTTGCAAATGTCAGAAATGACACCTAGGGACAGCAAGGAGCTCTTTGGAGCCCAATGGCCACTGCAACATTATGATAACAGAATAATAATACAACTTTATTTATAGGTCACCCTATGCCCCCGGGGGGACTCAGGGCAACTTCCATGCAAAAAATGCAAACATTCAATGCCTTGGTAATAAACTAACACACAAGACAAAAATACGGTGCATGGTAACATCATTGTAAACTCATAAATTACTAAACAAACACACAGCTCATAAAAACCAACAATATCAAAATGCATAAAATGAGAAAAATAATTTAAGATGATTTATCACAGCATGTCAAGATAAAATTGCCAGCATCCCGGAAAGTGGTCTTTACAATGTCCTAATCTTCCTCTCCATAGGCTAAAGTGCATAGATGCGTTTTCAGCAGTTTTTTTTTTAAAAAATGGTTTATTTTAGTTATGGTACATAACAAAACAACAAATCATAAGAGATATAGTCAGGTAACAATAATTTTGAAGTATACATGCCTATCTACCTTAGTCAATCAACCAGTTAATTCTGACACTGAGTACATATTATTATCAGTTACTTAACTTAAAAGCAATTTGTTTAAAGGAGAGGAGGGAGAGAATGTTTTTATTTCTTTGGGGAAGGAGTTCCAGAGGTGTAGGATGATCAAGGTAGGTGACACAGTGGCATCTTTCTATCCACACAAAATGGAGCCTGGGGAAAGTGGAATAGTTGGTGGAGCAGAACAGGCCCAGCTGTTCACACACGGGGCAAAACTCTCCAAAGTGGTCTTGTCCCTTGGGAGACAAGGAGTGGCCACGGGTCATGCGGATGCCATGAGGCCGATTCTCACCCGCCCTGAGTCATACGGCCTATGTAGATATGCCATGGATTTCAGCCAGACTCAGACATGAGTCATTACTTCCGGATTCGATTTTGTAGTTTTTACTTCGCTTAGATACCTTTATTTATTAATTGTGGTTAATGTCTATGTGAAAATTACCCAGACTGGAATAGAGCTTAGACCAAAACATTAGGGGAAGAAAATAGCACAAGTCTTGTCTTCCATATGTATTAAAACAATCTCCTTTGCTTCATGTTTGAAGTTGACCTCATAATTGTGAGGTTTGTCCAGAGCTGTTTATTGAGAGTTACTTTTAATTTTCAAAGTATTTTTTCTAAACTAGTATCAGTCAAGCAGATCTGCTGTAGGTATCACCTCTTGTTTTTTGTTACCAGCCGTTAGGTCCAACTTATGGCGGCCCAATCCTAGGGTTTTCTTGGTAGAATTTATGTCAGTGAAATTTGCCATTGCCTTGCTTTGAGACAGAGAGGCTGTGACTTGTTCGAGGGCAGCCAATAGCTTACAATTACAGATGGGATTTGAACACACATCTGCCAAAGTCCTAGACCAAGATTCAGCTTTGGTGTACAGCTGAGTCCCCTGAAAATGGTATCACTGGTAGGGGATTGGCCAAAGACCCTTTTGAAGTCTTTTCCTCAAACCAGTTATAACTATGGGCAAGAGATGAGCTTTATTGCA